TTATGATCTTTTCGATGAGTGCGCTTAGAAATCAAAGTAACCGGGCAAAATAGCGCTTATAAGTGTAAGCGCTTTAAGTATGTGAGCGTCCAAAACGAGCGCACCCTTTATACATATTATTGTAACGTCCGGACTTATTTTGAAACATTAATAATATATTAATATAGATCGGAGGCCGACTTGTCTGATTTCAGACATCACTAGATATTTTATATCTATGTTATTAGACGTAAGTATGTGCGCATATGTATATTCGCGCACGTTAAATATTATAATTAAAATTATAACGCTGAACACTGCGTGTCGTTAGAGAGTTTTAAAATTGATGGATCAACTGTAGACAAGAGAAACCGTAATCGTTCAATGCGATAAGGCGTCCCGCTGGGGTGTATATCAGTTGGACACGGGGCAATTGGACACAGTCCAATCACAAGTCGCTGTTCCAAGGGACCCTACAAATGTCTCTAATCACACGGTGCTGTGATTGGCTGCGTCCAAATGCACCGTGTCCAAGTTCACCGCTCCCACATTATACTTCCTGTGGCGTTATCTCTTCCGGTATTCACAGCCAGTATTGAAAATCTATAGTTTATGGCCGGTATTCATAGGCTTGGTTTACATCGTGCATTTGATACGCGTATTAAATAGTAACTTTCTATTAGATAATATTAATATCGACGATGTATATAAATAACGGTATATTAAACTGGTATAATACTGATCAAGAAGACTTATTATATCGATTGAATGCGTCATCGTTGATATGCATTGTCAATATTAACATTATTATGACATTATTACATACATTATACATTATTATAACATTATTACATAATAGAAAGTTACTATATAGTACGCATATCAAATGCACGATGTAAACTAAGCCATTGGCCGCGTTCAGTAGAACAAGTGATCAATAAGCGCTCAGGGAGCTCTTGTATATGATTTGGCATATTCTTTTAGATCACCAACTATACTCCAATCAGATGCAAGAGCTCACTGAGCGCTTGCTGATCACTTGTTCTACTGAACGCGGCCATTGTTATCGCATCGAATCTTATTTCAAGACTATCTTAAGTAATGTCTTAAGATGCGAATACGGCTCTGTGATTGGTTCATGACATCTTAAAACAGTGTCCGTGTTCCGTTTTTACTGGCAGTGCTGTCTAAATGACATCATGGCGGTATACTGCCACAGCCATTCTGAAATTAATTTAATGCTGCCAGAACAATTGTAACGTCGTATTTCGGAACAACTTGCAGTACACTGCAAACAGCAGCTAATCTTTGTTTGTATCTACGATATTCCGCTGTGATTTAAACAATATAATATAAAAATGAATAAAAATGTACAAATGTCTATTTACTTCACTTCAATCATAGAAGCAGTATGTGAAAGCAGTGATGACAGCGATGATAGTTCCGATGAAGATGAATTACTAAAATTAATATATCCTGCTGCACAAATTATACGACCGCGTATAAAAAATTATTTAGTTATTGTTTATGAATATTCTAATACTGAATTTAAAAGTCACTTCAGGTAATGTAAATATTAATATTATATTTTGTTTGCTTTTTAAGTTTAGGATATTGTAATGCTTTTATATTTTTTATACTGCTGCAAACTTATAATAGTGAAAGAGAGAATATTTTTGTTAACAACTATTTTTTTAACAAAACTATTTTTTACTTGCAGGATGTCGCGTACAGTTTTTTATTTATTATTAAATTAATTTAACCGGAATTGGAAAAAAATCTGAAAGATTTGGTCGGAAAACTATTGCTGCAGAAGATCAATTGTTGATAGCAATATGGTTTCTAGCAACACCAGATTCATATAGGTAATTTACACACACACACACACACACACACACACACACACACACTATGTATATATAATTAAAAAATTAATATATATATAAAAACCATAAAAAACACATTGAATACATTGATATATGAATCAGGATTATTCTCTCTCTATATGTATACAATTATTTTATTTATGTAATAGATCAGTTTGTGTGTGTGTGTGCGACCGATTTAACGTTGGACGAGCAAGTGCTTGGCGTGCTGTTATTTGTTTCCGCATCTAAAGGCCATTCTACAATAGGTGTAAGAATATGGCTATTAGGCTGTAAAGCCCATTTTACAATTGCGTGGTTGTAAGGGGTTGTATGTGATTATGACAACCAATCAGAATAAAGCAATCAGTAAATAAAACACTCGGATTGGTTGACTCTTACGATCACGACTACGCTTACGCAATTGTAGAATGGGCTTTAGACTCGAAATGAATTATTTTCATTCGCTGACAGCTTACGTTACATCCTTACAACCATATTCTTTAGGTTGCTTTCCAACAAAAGACACAAGTCGACACAAACATCATTCTATCTTTGTTCATTTAATGAGTAACAAAAAGTGTTTTCCAATTGCTTAACACATTTTGACACACTCGTACACAAAACCAGTTTATTGGTCACATATTATCTAAAATATCTTGTAAGATAATATACAACCAATAAACTGGTTTTGTGTAACACAGTTATGCAACTGGAAATCACCCATAGGGTTAAGATGTGTTAAGTAATTGGAAAGGACCCATAGATAGGATGATACTTGTGTCGACTTGTGTCTCTTGTTGGAAAGCAATCTTAAGCCCATTCTACAATTGCGTAAGCGAGTCGTCATCGTAAGAGTCAACCAATCCGAATGTTTTATTTACTGACTGCTTTATTCTAATTGGTTGTCGTAATCACATACAACCACTTACAACCACGTTCACGCAATTGTAGAATGGGCTTTAATAGCGTGCTCGACTGGCCCTGGGTTAATCGCTCCGAGAGCGATTAATGACGTCATAAGTCTCTATTAGCCAATCATAAAGCTTATAAATATTTGTTCGATCTATAAACGTAGGCTGAATAACCCACAGTGGTTAACCTAGAGCCAGTCAAACATGCTATGAGTAAAGTAGAGATGCCCGATTCTGAATCGATTTGATTCTTTCCCCAAAAATAGGCTTATTCGTGTTGTTTGCACTCTTCGCATTTTTCGTATTTAAAACTAGACAGAAGTATATTGGAATGTTTCGAAGAAGCAAAAACGAGACAAATCTCAATTAGAATTTCCTTGGTACCAACATAATCTCGAGACAAACCAACTCGATTGTTTCTTCTAAGTGTCTGATTAAATGTCCATCTCTCTTTAAAAGCGAAAAGTATGAAACATGCAAGCAGCACAAGCAACCCTTTTTCCCTAAATTTGTTAGGGAAAGAATCGAATCGATTAAGAATCGGGCATCTCTAGAGTAAAGCCAGCGGCATACGGGTTAGGCGAGTTTCCCGAAAAGTGGAAGGGATAATGTTGGTATCAAGGAAAATCTCTACACGATATAATTTAAAGATCTATTCTTTGTAACTGCACTGCTGAACTGGTGCAATAAATTGAAGTGAGGCAAGTATACGTTTTCTCATTCTAATCTTTTGCATTAGTTCAGCAGTGTGCAGTTACAAAGAACAGATCTTTAAATTATCGTGTAGAGATTTTCCTTGGTACCAACATTATCCTCTCTATTTTTCGGGAAACTGTCGCCTAACCGGCACACGATGCTTATTTTCATGCTGGATTGTTTGCTGGATGGAAATATTCTGTTCTGATTGGTGCATTTCTGAAGACGGACCAATCAGAATAGAGTATTTCCATACAGCAATCTTAGATATTACACGTTTTATGCGTTTTTATACATATACGTATTTTACCATATAATGTAAAAAACTCTAGAAATACTCTAAAAACCCAACCCTGCTCGACATACGTACACATTAGTACCTTTGTTCCAATCGAGTTGTGCACCACGTTATGGCTCCTGCACACAGGACGCGATAATGCTTGCCGCGCGGCGGAAGTCCGTGCGACAGCCAATTAATGTGTTGTTTTTCCGTCAGAGCTAGAAGTTTATTACGGAAAGCAGCATATTGATCGCTGTCGTACGAACTTCCGCCGCGCGGCAAGCATTATGGCTTCTGCACACAGGATACGGTAATGCTTGCCGCGCGGCGGAAGTTCGCGCGATAGCCAATCAATATGCTGCTTTCCGTAATAACCTTCTAGCTCTTAGTCCTGACCGCGTCCTGTGTGCCATTAAGGAGCCATTAAGCCCATTCTACAATTGCGTGAACGTGAATGTAAGTGGTAAGCGATTACGACAACCAATCAGAATAAAGCAATCAGTGAATAAAACATTTGAATTGGTTGACTCTTACGTTCACGACTACGCTTACGCAATTGTAAAATGGGCTTTAAGCCCATTCTACAATTGCGTAAGCGTAGTCGTGAACGTAAGAGTCAACCAATCCGAATGTTTTATTTACTGATTGCTTTACTCTGATTGGTTGACGTAATCATTTACAACCACTTACATCCACGTTCACGTAATTGTAGAATGGGCTTTACACTTTGTGCATTTCTGTGTACGTATGTATCAAGTGGATTGTCGGGTCGAATGCCCCAACGTGCTTCTACTCGCTCCAACGCACTCTGATTGATCCGCGTAGTGACGTGAACCAATCAGAGTGCGTTGGAGCGAGTAGGAGCACTTTGGGACATGCGACGCGACAAACCTAAGATGTGTTAAGCAATTGGAAAGCACCCATTGCCACTCTCATTCTTCTCTTTGATCATTGGTCTATTCTTTTCAGCTGCATTGCTGAACTGGTGCAATAAGTTAAAGTGAGACAAGTATATTTTTCTCTCTCTAACTTATGCACCAGTTCAGCAGTGCAGCTGAAAAGAACAGATACAACTATAGACAGATTATTGAAGGAAGGAAGGGAAGGAACTATAGACAGATACACAAATAGCGAAAATTCCGGCCATCCGACCTAACCGCCGTTTGGACGTGTCCGAACACCTTCGGACCAGATTTTTTTGGAACTTGTACTTTGGTTGTACTTGTATCTTGATTGAAAGGACTAATAAGAGAGCAAAGTAAAATAAAGGGAAGGAAGTATAATAATAACGAGTTCTCCGAACACACCTATAGTAGCGATCAGCTGATATCATTTGCTAGTAAATTGAATTATAATTTGATATTCAGTGACGTTTGCATAAATCTGTTTATACTTTTTGGAGTATTTTACCATGATTAAGAATATTTACATCCCTCATCTGTGTTACGTTGAAGTATAATCGGTAAGGTTAAGTTTATATTGTTTTTAAATACTTAAAATATATACAATGTTAAGGTGTGCAAAGTTATTTTATTTTTATTGTTTATTTTTGTTGTTTATGTTTTTTACATTATTAGTTTCTATTACTATATATTATTCTTTTGTTTGTTTATTATACATTGCTCAGTTTTAACATTGTTTTAGATATATTGATTTTAATATTGTATTCATGTGTACAGTCTAATAGTATATGACTTATGATCTATACTTTACGTATAGATATATGACTTTTCTCTCATTTAAATAAGATATAATACAATGATTTATCTAAATAAATAAATAAGAAAATGTATATATATTTTTTTAGATATAGAAACATTTTTTTTTAGAAGTGAAAAATTGTTATTTAGTTAAACATTTATTGTCTTAGATAAATGATAAGTTTTGGATGTGTGTTGAAATATGTTTACATTATTTTGATAAGATCATCGAAATTATTTTATTTTTGTTCTTATTTTTCCTTATTTTTTCTATAATTGTAATCAGGAATTAACTGATATGCTATCATACTTAAGCTATTTTAAGGCAAGAGAAGGATATACAAAAAAATATAGTTTTTATAATTGACAATTGTACTATTTTCACAATTTTTCTGTTTTCTTCTTAATTTTTTTAATTGTTTAATTGTTATTATTTTCGAATACTAACTGTACATTTTCTTGTGCAAAAAACAAGTTTATAATACATTTATAATTTTTATTATAGGGCCAAATTATATATATAATTACTATAAACAGGATAATTCTAAAAATCAAAACTTTATATAGGAAATTTGATTTTCAAAGTATTAATTTATCATAACTTTTACACATGCACATAAAATGACAATTTAAAAATAAATATGTAGTAAAAAATGTCTTAATTTTTAATATAGAATATAGTCAGTATGCATAATGACAAGTGTACTCCATACATTAAACATTAGTGTTTAATTCCTTATGATATCTTATTAGATAATAAAGATTTTGTTTTTAATATAGGTATCTAATAAATGGTTGATGATTTCTTTAGATTAGATATTAGATAAACTATGCAAATATATAATACAGAAATCATATAGATATAGATATCCGAACTTTATATTTAGATATATATCTAGTCGTATTTGTCTAAATACATTCCAATACTGCAACCTAAGCAAGTTTACTTGACAATCAAGATGACATCAATGTTTGATCAGTACGAGCAGGCTTCACAGCGCTCTAAACAAGTGCTTGCACCACCGATTCGCCCAGATATTGTAAGTTTGTTACTACATTTTAATTAACAAGATGCATAAATTATATAATCATTTCTAAAAATTTCTATATTTAATAATACTAAATAAACTATGGAATACATTAAAAACATTAATATTAAAAAGATAAGAAAACAATTATCTTTGAATACTTCTTTTTTTCTTTGAGAATTTGAAACATTATCTTTCTATAAATTTATTTATTATACCTCAAATTTAACAATAGACCTTATATCTAGTTATATCGTAGAATACTGGGAGCTTTAACAGACTATTTATATATAGAATAATTGCTATATTTGTAAATGAACTTTACAGAGTACAGCAGGCTTTATTCAAATGAAATTGCAAGACGATAGCCCAATATTCACCAAGCAAAAAGTCAACTTTTTGCCATCTGACAAAATTCTTTACTTAGTCGTTAGCAGCAATACAATTGTGATTGCTATGGCTAACAATATTTTATTGCGCATTGATATGAAGCAGCCTGACAAGACTGAAGGTAGTTTGCAACTAATTATTTATTTTAATTTTTTTATTGAAGATTAAATGTTCAGGTGTAATATATATGATTGTTACAAAATTTTAATCATATATATGAATATTTACTTATTTATTTAATTATATATATGAATATTATATGTGAACGTAATTGAGATGAACACGTGTTAACAAAAGTTGACTCCATTAAAGAATATTATCTCTTCTTTATTAATAAATAGATAATCAAGAGATGTTTTATTTACAGAAATCGACATATCTAAGTATACATTGACTATGAAAATGTCCGGTTTGTTTTTGGATCCGTTGGGTAATCACCTACTCATAACATTAGTGTCAAGACATGGAGACAATGGCCCTCCTCCTGAGTTGTACTACTTACATAGGAAGACAACGAAACTCAAGCAAGCTGGTAAGTTCAACGGTCATGAAATCACTGCTGTCGGCTGGAACTTCTCCAACACTTCGGATACCAGTTCGGGGCCCATTTTATTGGGCACTTCCAAGGGTTTAATTTTTGAAACAGAGATTGGATTGGAGACTGACAAGATTTTTAACACCAGTTTGGAGCAATATTGGCGTCAGGTATGTATTACTATTACATATACAGATAAAATCGTTGTATCTCTGTTTATATCTAACACATCAATTAACATCAGCTTGGTTATTCATTCATAACATTAATCTCTTCAGCATCTCTCCCTTATTGTTTTTCTCTTACAAAGCTTCCGAATTATCTGCCTCTTTATGGTACAAAAGAGGTGGGAGGACTGGTGAGTTCTGCATTCTTTTCTTCCATTTTTGTACATTTATCATTTATACATTATATTACATATTTCACACATTTTTGTGCCTCTTTATGTGACAGAGGTAAATTAATTATAATTATTTACTAGTTTTCTGTCGCAAAAATGAAAGAATAATAATTAAATATTCTGTGTTATACACAAAATACACAGGATGTTATTTTATTATTAACATTTAAATATTTTGAAAAAGAGAAATTTACTGAAAAAATGTTTCAGACAAAAATTGTAAGATTTTAAGGGGGTATAAGATAGCACAATATAATAATATTATTGTCACTAAAATATACTTTAAAAATTACACTAAAGTCAACTTTTTAAAATGAATCATATAGTTATTTTAACATAAATCGATTTCTTTGTTTATTCTGCATATAAAAGTGTACTGAGTTAGAAATGATTAATGGAAAATTAATATTTTATGATATATTTTGTATCTTATATTAAATAGTTCACCGGTAATGGCATATGTTAAACAAACCATATGATTCTGTTTAAAAAGTCAAAGTTGATTTTAAAACAACCTTTAAAAAATATTTTAATGACATAATATTACTATCCTATGTGTGCTCAAAATCTTACAATTATTGTTAAAAACGTTTTTATTAAAGAATTTTACTTTTTCAAGTATATAAATGTCAAAAATAAAATAGGACACCTATGTGCGCGCGCGCGCACGCGCACGCGCACGCGCACGCGCACGCGCACGCACACG